TGCCTTTGCACAGCCAACAAGCTTGCTGCTGGCTTTCTGTTCCTCCTGACCAGAAAGTTAATTAGCCTCTTTGAAATGTAATTCCAGTGTTTTTATGGTATGTATGGACAGAAATAACTGACATGAATGATGCCTTTCCAGAGCTGCAAATGTCCAAGTGAAACAAGAAGACCTAAATCCGTCAGTAGAACTAGACTAAATAATGCTCTAAAAATCACTTCCACTCTGCAGTAATCCTGGACTAACCTTCCTTTAGTACACAAGGAGTGAAAAAGTTCTTGGTCTGAGACTGAACCATTTTTTTTGTTGCTTGAAATAAAATATCTGACAATATTTACCATACACACATAGAACTATTGAAAACCAATCCATGATCATAATCTTCTTTAAATCTTTTGAAGGTTGCAGGCAAAGTTTTAAATTCAATTAGTTTCCCTTTTTATATGTTTTACGTATGTAAAATGTGTGCAGTTACAACCTCGGAACGGAAATTTGAATTGTCACGAAAAATGCAACTCCATAGCTTAAAAAAAGGTAAATCTTCACAGGACAACTTGATTGAACTACTAGTTATTGTTGTATTATTGCTGTATCATTCAAAAGATCTGGATCCTATTAGTTAAGAAGATTTTATGACCCTGCTTTGAGAAGAATCGATACGAATGCATTTGAAAGCAATTGTCATTTTCCTTCATGATAAAAGGAATATAGAGGAAGATTAAGTGAAAGTATACATATATACAGTATGTAAATAGAATTAGGTGGTGTTCACAATATCTTTCCCTTGCTAGTTTTCATCTCTCTGCGTATGCTAGCAGTTATCTCCCTGCCCTTGCAAGCAAGGAAAGGAGTCGCACTTTTACGATTCTCATTCCTGCAGGTTCATCAGGAAGTTATTTTTTGGGCCCTTGGAGCTTCATAAAAAAATTAAATGAGCTGCAACATTCCCTTTTCTACCCAGAGGAAAATCATACCTACGTTATTTGGGTCTATACAGTTTATGGACTTCAATCCTGGGAAGATCTCCTTTGCAGGGTGCCAGGAAGCAGCAGCGGGAGAAGGCGGCTGCTGGAGCTGTCCTGGTGGGAATACAAGGAGGAACTGCAGAATCCAAAATGGAATATTCTCCTAGCAGTCACCTCAGGTCTGTAGCCAGACACCCTACCCAAGTGACAGGGGAAGCCTTATCTCCCAGCAAAATGATGAGTTCCCCTCACAACTTTATTACTGTTCCATACCACAAGGCGCTTTTAATTTTTTTGATTCATTGTCCTTTTTTTATTGCTCAAGTGCTGCGTGGCATACTGCTGGCTTTTGTCATTGCAGTCTGTTTTGAAAGACTGATTCTTATACCGCTTCAGACTTTCACTGCTAGAGTAAGTGCAGCAAACGGCCAAGCAATATACCGTACAGTGAGTATCGGCCCAAGGAAACTTGAGGAAAGAATGGATTCTGTCTAGCGACTTTAGAAATCGTGAATCGTGCTTTCCTACGTGATAAACTTCAGAAATAACAATCCAGTGGATCAGGATGGTTATTGCACTTGAGAGTGCAGAGTGCACTTTCCAAAGAGTCACACGGGAGCATGGGTTGCCTGGTAGGGCAGAAAAGAGCGCCTGACCCTCTGGCTGTTGGAGATTAAGCAAATTAGCGGGACCTGCAGAAGGCTATAAACGGGTGGGAGTGACAGAAGATAACTGATAGGCAACCTTGAAAGGTGTTGCTCAGTGAAAAGTTCCCACAGGTCATCACATTAGTCATTGTGCTGGACTGTCAGCTAGTGCGGATTCAGTAGGCGCAGCCTACGTCGTATAGCAGAGCTGGAAATCCAGACAGAGACCAAGCAGAGAAAATTGTATTCTTCAACATTCAAAGGTTAAAAGTAAAATTGGGTATTAGAGGGGGATATATTGTGCAGCCTTGCCTAACCATCATCTTACACGGCATAGAGATTGCTTCAGTTCAGCACAGTAAACGATGTAAGATGCTCTAGCCTCTCATTTTCAGCAGGCTTTCACATTGAGGGCTGGTTGTGCCGTTGGCCGGTGCTTTCTGGTGTACTAACCCTGAATCATCCCATCACCGCACTCTGTGTGAGGGTCTTGAGAAGGGCTGGTAGCACAACTAAAAACTTCATTAATTCGTCATGAAATACCATTTCAGACACGTATTTGCTGTCTCTCTTACCTGTGCGTAGTTTAGGGTTCTTCTAATGTTTCCTGTGTTGGGGCAAAAATAAGCTAAGCTAAGCAGGTACATCTTCTTTGGAATTTATTTAAGCTACATACAGGCAAAACCAATAAAGTTGTATGAATAGCTATAAATTTTGAAAGTAAGCAAAACTTTTTAATGAAATATAGAAAACATTAATGTGAGTTGCCTCCTCTGGATTTAAAAAAAAAAAAAAAAAAAGTATCTTGTACTAATTTGATAGGTCTCAATTCAGAAAAATAAAACCACAAGCAAATATTAATGGAATCTAGGCACGTATCTGAAGTTAAACAGGTGCTTAAGTGCTTTGCTCTACAGAAATGCGGTGATTTAATTAGGATCTTGTTACGTTTGACAGGCATATCTGACTTTTGGGCCAGAGAGAGCGCAACAAGAAAAGCTAATTCTAGGTAAATGTGTCTGGATTCCAGTATGTGGCAGGAGGAAAAGCAAGCTTTCTGCACTGCATTTCAGTAAGGAGTTTGTGTGTCGCGTTAGAGCATTTGTAAGAGTATTCCAGGCCTGCAAAACTCCCTGGGATCATTCAGCCAAGTGACTGGTTTGTTTTGGGGGGTTTTTTGTTGGTTTTTTTTTTTTTTTTTAAAAAAAAAGGAAGTGTTTTTCCACCATAAAGAAGTTACAGGCAAGGTTTTAATTTGTTTTCTTCGTTGTTCATCTGCTAAGTCAAGGGCTGGACTTCACTTTCTCCACCAGTTACAGTGAGACAAGGAATATGTGCTCTGCTAGAGGTTTATTTGTTTGGGGTTTTTTCCAGTAAGGGGTGACTCATGACTTTTTTTTCAGAGTACATAATACAGTGTATCAGGTTTAGTAGCTGCATTAGTACAATGAGCTGAAATCATTAAATTGATTCCACATGTGATAAATACCAGATTAAAACAATGAGCAGCACTGGTGTATACCTTCTTATCTTTAATGTCGATAACATCATAGTAGTAAAAAAGTTGAAAAGAAAAAGATAATGAAATAATAATTCCATGGAAGTTATCTGGGTATCTGCACTGTTAGTTTGGCAAGAGTTCACTAATTATGCGTGGCATTTGTAGAACAGGTAAAGGAAGTGAAGTGTGAAATAAAAAATGAAATCCCAAAAACTTCTTGTCCTCTGCCTCTTCATCAAGTGTACAGTAGCCATTAAAAAGAAACAAAGAGTTTTGTTGTTCTGTCCTGGATCAGAAACACCAATTGCAGTTATTTTGGTACAGTTACGATTGATTTTAAGTACTTTTCTGATTGTAGAATTAACCATAGAAAAACATAGATGTATATAATAACTGCTCCGGTTAATTTAAAATTTGGTGATTGCAAACTCGAAAGGCACCCTCTTGCTTCCGGGGTGGTAGCCGACAGCTAAGTTTAGAATCATCCCAATGCTTTTCCTCAAAACAACGTCTGAATGTATGCTTAATTGTCACATATTGGGCTGTCTTTTAAAAATTCCTCCTGTCTTTAAGGGCATTAAGACATTTCTACCAGTATTTTGAAGGGCTTTCAATGTCTTTTTGGCTGGTGAACTGAAAAAAATGCAAACTATTACTTTGTTGATCTTGTTTTTAAACTGAACTGCATTATCAACTGAGAGGGTGCTCTGAAGGTATTGTTAAAAGTGCTTTGAAAACTTGTAAATCCCTGTAATTTATGTTCCTGTGGTCTCAACTGCTTCTTTCTGTCCTTCTGGTTTTAATTTGAATGCAGACTTGTCTGGGTGTGTACCTGTAAAATTGTGTTTTTCCAAGTACAATTTACAGTCGTGACCCTAAGTTTTACAGTGTTCTAACCTTATAGGAGCTTCCTCCTATGCCGAAAAGCCAAGTTTGGGTCAAACAGCTCTTTCATATTATAATTGTCTAATCAAGGTTACTTGGAACAGATCCGATTTGGGCATTTTTTAGTTTATCACAAAGACTTTATAAGAATATCAAGTAAATTGGAAAGGTTCCTTTGCAGGAGACCAGTAATAGCATTGCCTTATTTCTTCAGATATACACAGTTGTAAACTTAGCCTGCTTCATGACAACAGTCCCATTTATCTAAACAATTCTCCTTTTAGAGTCAATGGCACTGATAGAAAGTGAGATAAGAAATACAGATGGGAGGATCTTTCTGAGTCTCTACTTACTGAAACTCCTCGCTGTGCAGCTTACAATCACCTTTTCTTTTTGGTGCCTGAGAATGCGTGGCAGACATGTACCATGAAACAGAGTCCCCTCTAATTGCCAGAGAGCACTCCAGGAAAGGATGATGGAGCTTTGGGAGGGTTTTTACAGTCGGGGTGATCTCTTTCTTGATGGTTTTGGGGTTGGTTTTTTTTTGGTTGGGTTTTTTTTTCTTTTTTTTTTTTTCCCCCTAAAGACATGCTGACTATGTTGAGGTTGGGTTTTTTTGTTTCATAGCTCTCACAGTAGTCCCTTTGCTGTAATTCTTTGTCTTTTGAATGAAGGTATTAAATTATCTATTTTATTGTAATCTGCAGCTTTATCCCCTTCTCATTTACTTACTGTCTTTTTGAGTGATACAGGAAAAAGAAGTTTCACAGTCTTATATTCTTTGTGTTCCTCTGCAATAAAAATAATACTTGCACACTAAACCAGTAGTTATTTGGGCTAACTGTTATAAGCTTGCTGCTTTTTTTTTTTTTTTTTTTTTTTAAGTATTTACTCATCAGCCGTGCTCATTTTTTCAGCATGACTTCAACGCCCTTGGTGGTTAACTGGAAGAGAAAAACAGATAGATTACGTGTTTTAATTTTGTTACGTTTGTATTTTCAGATCATTGTACAATCTGGCCGTCACCCCACGGTGCTGCAAAAACTATGCCAGTTGCCTTTCCAGTATTTCAGTGATCCTCGTTTAATCAAAGTGCTCTTCCCTTCGCTAATAGCTGCTTGTTACAATAACCCTCAGAACAAGATCATCCTGGAGCAGGAGATGAGTTGTGTTTTACTCGCCACGTTCATTCAGGTAGCTATCGCAGTAACGTAACAGCGGCGTGGGGGATAGCTGCAGCAGTTTTCCTTGCCTTTGCTGTGTATATGGAAATCATTTGACTTAAGTAAAACAAGTAAACAGCCTTGAAGTACTTGAAGATTCTCTGCAGCTCTTTGCAAACCACAGATTATGCCGGTACTTGAGGCATCTTAGAACCCTAGAAGGTTACCTATTAGTTCAGGTTCTCGCTATCACACGAAGAATCCTGTTTTCATTAAAGTTATTGGATGTGCTAGCAAGATTTGATGTAGATCCTGCTCTTAAGAAGACAATTCTTAAAATACTTACTTTTTTAAAAACTACCGCACGTACAGCATATCTGAAATCAGTATATTAATGTGTTTACATACAAATGTACAGTTGTATACGGTGTACAATAGATTTACAGAGAGAACTGAACAGAAGTGTATATATTTTATGCAGAAAATACACAGAACATATGTTACCGGTCTAATCTTGGAATCTTTATTTTTGACAGTAAGCCACTGAGGTCATTGCGGATACTGTTATGAATAAGGATTTACAACATTTTTGTTCCCTTTGTCTAAATTTATATGCTGTCCTTGATGTATCACATTTTATACATGCCTTATGTTTTCCATACATTTTATTGACTGTTTCCAATGAATAAATGCAGTTTTTGTAAACACTCTACTATTAAAATATAATATGCTTTTAGGAGTCTAGTAACTCTGTATCAGTCACCTGAAAGTTACTGTTGTTGATACAGAAATGTTACTCATACTCTTTTTCCTAATGCTTTACAGCTAGTCCAAGGGCAGGCTACGTGGATTTGGGAGAGAAGGCACAAGAACTAAATATTTACTAAAAGTCTTAGCATAACATCAAACTTCTGAGTGCGACTACTTTTTATCCTTTTAGTACTAAAATAATTGTGTAGCAGGTTTTAAAAAAAAAAAAAAGTTTGGAACTTAGCATTAAAAGAATTTGCCATATAGTGATGAACTTCTGCTTAAATACAAAGCTATAATTCATCTTTGACTTTCTTATAGGGAAACTACAGATTTCAGTGTAGATGTTGCAGTGGCAAAAAATAATTTGAGCATTATGAGTAAATGCAGCAAGTTTAGTTGGGTTTTTTTCAGCCAAAAACCATGAGAGTGGAGGAGAGTGTTTCCTATATGAGTGATTAAGGTTATTTACCTTGATTTCTGTGCTAAAGAGGGAGAATGGCATTGAAATCCCCAGTAGCTACGGCAAAGCATAAGTATATTTACAAGGGTCAACGTTATTAATTTGATTTCCAATTAGAGATACATCTCAGATGCCAAGCCCACGTACTGTTCTTGCAGGCTTTTAAAAAAAGGTGTTATATTAAAATAAGGAAGATCCTTGTGTGCTGTAAAGTGTCACATCTTTGCTGACTTCACTAGTACTTTAGTATTTTACCTATTCTAAAACCTAATCCCCAACGTTGCACATACACGCAGAGAACGATTCTGAAAGGAACCGAGGAATGCTCAGATACCCACGCGCACAGACGAGACTTTCCTCTGTACTTTTATTTCAACTCTCTGGTGTTTGTCAAGCAAATCTCTCATTTGATTCAGTGAAAGGTTTGGGAAAGACTGCAAAATGTTTCCCTGTGACTAGAAAATGAGATTCTTCCTGTGCCAGGGAATGTAAAAAGAAGTCCCGTTTACGTAAAAGTTTGGTGGTGTGTACAAATATAACACTTAAATACAGTGTGTTAAATGTGTGCAGTGTAAATGAAAGGAAAACAATTGCTGGATTTTGCAACGACCCACGTTATACCTCCCTACCAACAGATTTATTTCTATCAAATGAAGTTTGCATCATCCTTTTTCTTTTCATTACTTCTGTTTCTAGATGTACAGAAATAATTAAAAAACATTTATGAGTATCTGTTACTTGCTAAATTGTATTTCTACTGGCAAATAATACCATCTCTTCTCTGAAATACTTGAACAAAAGCCCTCTCTGTACTGGGGCAGCTGACTTGCGTAACCCTACGGTGTTCCGAGCGAAGTCGGTGTCCTTGCTGACACCGGAGGATGCAGCATCCCGTCCGATAGCAGCAGGGATCGCACATCGCGATTGACTGCACCTCAGCTGGTTACGCAGCCGGCTGCAGCGTTGGCCAGACTTCATCACGGCTGTGGAAAAACTTCACTTGGGCTCCCGCGTCGCTGGGAGGCACAGCCGATGAAATGGGGATAAGTCGAGAATTTTGTAAAAGTGTATTTGGAGTCAGGAACAGAATTCTAAAACACCATTTACTTTACAGAAACACAGCTATAATAAATGTTCTTTTAAATTAAAAGTCACAATAACTATTCCTATGAAGATATTAAAACCTTGGGGTTTATGCTGTGTATTAAAAGTTGTTTTTGGGGGAGAGTGTTTTGTTTTCAAAAAAAGTTATAAATGTATAAAATTCCACTGTATCTTACAGAATTTAAGTGCTGGCAGTACTCTTTTATGATTTGTAGCAAACAAGCCAGAGTTTTTTAATTTACAGATTTCATAAAGTATTAGTATTTTTGAGTGACGGTAAAGACTTAAAAATGTTGTTTTAATTCCTCAGATGTAAGATCGGAAAACCTGATGCCATTTTTTTTTTTTTTCCCCCCCTTGTAGGATTTTGCACAGAGTTCAGGCCAAATGGAGAATCAGTTATCTCAGCAGAGGGGTATGTCTCCAGTGAAATGTAACAGGGTAGCAACTGGGTAACAAAATGTGTAGATACTATATTTTACTGTGATTTAAATATTTTGAATCTGCATCACAACAAAAGAAATACAGTAAATTGCAAAATGATGTTACAGTTTGGGAAGATGCTCCCTAGCTTACATCTTGACTTAAACATACGTGTCTTCCAGTCTGCTGCTCATCGTATCAGGAATTCAGACTGTTAACCTTTATTAAATGCTATGTGGTATCACGTCTTAAAACGTGATACTGTACGTGTGCATATTTAATTAGCTGTCACAAAGGCCGCCTTCAAAAGTTTTAGGTTGCAAAAGCCACATAGTCATGCCAATACACCTGGGGAGCCAAAAATTAGTAAAATACTGTCCTGTAATTATCCTGTAAAATTTGTCAGTTCGGAAGAGTTGCAATTTTTTTTTCCCCCCCTCAGTTGTAAATATTGTGTGAAATGCAGTTAACCTCTTTAGGCTAAACATTTGAAAGATTCTCAGCTAAGACGGCTATTACTTGTTAAACGTGTCTGAAATTCAAGTGTGTTGATGGGAATCTGATCTTGAGTCACCCATATTTTGCATAAAGTACGCCACTTGGACAGTCATTTCTCCCTAACAGCAAGCAGAAATCCTGCACCGTTTTGCTGAACGTTTGGCAGAAGATGAGCAGTTCAGGGTCTAAAACATAAGCTACGTGTTTAAAAATAAATTAAAAAATTGAAAATGAACATAAATTTACGGAGATTGTTACTGTCAACATTATACCTCCAAGTCTGAAGCAGCCTTACGCAGTGTCTGCGGCACAAACTTTCCACGATTGCGTTTGCGTGAGAATCTGCTCGAGAAACTTCTAAAGTCCAAGTGGAAAACTGCTTTTTATTTTCACTATTCAAACTGAATGAACTTTTAAACAAAGATGACTATGTGGTGACATGTGAGTGTGATTTCTAAACGTTTCCTCAGTTGCAAAAAAGCTAATTAATAATAGCATAAGCAGGATTATTTTTATCCATTATATGGCTTGAATGTGAAGGACAGTGTCCCCCCAGAAACAAATGGGAACAATAAAACTCATAATAAAACTTAAAAGCGCAAACTTCATTGTTGGGTACTGCGCTGCCACGTGCTGCTCGCAGGGTCGGACCCCGCAAACCTGTGCCCGCATGTGTAGTCCCGTTCACATCACCAGCAGTACTCATGGGAGTAAAACCTGCATTTGTAATCATACCGTGAGCTCTGGGGAAAGTGGGGAGCAAAACTCCTCCACAGCCCTTTGTGGAAAAAGAAGCTGCTAACCGGAGAGCTCGCCATCGAGGCTTGAATGAGGCTGAATTGGTCGCTGGCGAGTCCGCGAACGTCAAATGTGTAAAGATGTACAGTGTTCTGATGTGTCAAGCAGAGAGCCTGATCCAGAAGCTTCAAAATGTAAGCCTTTGCTCATCAGAGCCCTCTACCCCCGTTTTTAAAGCCAAACCTCGATGGCCGGATCTCCACAGAGTGTCACCCCATGATCTGAGAAGTTTTTGGTAGGGGGAGGGGAGTAAATGACTTAAATATCTGGAACTGGCCGCATGTTCATTATTCCTGTTTTATTGCAATCTGATCTTGAGAGAATAACTTGGTAATTTTATGTTCTGTCTTCAACAGAAAAATTTTTCAATTCTCAAGATTATCTTGAGCTGTCCAACCGATTCCCCCGCCAGTCCTGGGAAGAAGCTCGACAGTTCTTCTTAAAAAAATAAGTGTTGTATTTGGGTTTAGAATCCCCAACATCGTCATGCTCACCGGTTCCTGCTGACTACCTTCCTTAAAAGCCTATTCCGAAAAGTTTTTGATACTCTAAAATACTTATGCTGTAGATACATAATTTGCACTATTTATATTCTAAGTACTGTAGATACTTTCAAGTTCTGTTTTGTAATTTTGATAAGTTGCGTTTATTTCATTCACATATCCTATGTCATGATTTGGGTATTTTCTACCCTGTGATGTGGTGGTACTTGCACTGCAGAACTGCTGAAACAAGATTGCAAATAGAGAAAATATGTTCTATATATCTTGTAATAAAATAACTTATTCTGTCTGTAGGGTGACTTCTGCGTTACAAATGTTGGTGTGTTTGAATTAGCATAAGCAACGCAAGGCTCGGAGAGAAATAAAAAAGACTCCTAAGATGCCTTTCCAGTTAATCAAAAGTCTAAAGAATGTCAGATTTGGCTCCAAGGAAAGTTCGCTTACACTTTTTTTGGTGATTCGGGATAAGTCACGCAATACGGATTTTTTTTTTTAAAACCATGCGCATTTTTAACGTTTCGGTAAGACTTTAATAACGCTTGTTTAAACCTCCTGATGTTCCCTTAACGGCGAAGGTTCCGTGAAGCAGAATTAAAACGTGAAACCGGCGGCCTGTCTCAGCACCGTTTATTCTCCGCGCCTCTCC